CAGCATGCAAAATGGTGTGTTTGTTGACATCTCTGAAAAATCGATAGCGAGAGGTGGAGTCACGCATCGATCGATGAGAGACGTTGGCGAGCGGGGAGCGGAGAGCGGTGAGCGGGCGAACGCGTTCGCTATCGTTTTTTGAGAGATGTCAACAAACACACCATTTTGCATGCTGCCGAGTCCGGCCTTCCGCTCCTCCGTGCACTTATTGGCTCAGACGTTTTTCTGAATTCGGCCGATAATAATTACGATTTTGTAAAATTTTATATAACTTTTCTTCTCAGTTTAACCCAATCTACTATAATCTTTGGGGTCGTCCATATCGAATCAAACACCCTGTATATCGATTAATATTTTGTTAAGATTGAAACATATGATGTTTTTCTATTTATATTACAGGGTATTACTCATCTTGTTATCTGTACAACATTGATAATATACCTACTTAAAAATATTTTTGTACAATAGTTATGTTTTTAGTTTTTACATATAACACTTGTACTTGCAGCTGATAGAAAAATTCTAGCCAACTTCAATACCAAGTACCTTTCAATCATACCAGTGAGAAATGATTCGTCGAAACGATGCGATGTCGAAACGAATCGACATTGTCAAATTCGACGTCAATTCGACATCAATTTGACGGTGTCGATGTCGATTCGATATTGTTTCGGCATCGATCGACGAGCCATTTCTCGCTGGGTATTCACATAAAAAAATTGAGAGCCCGAGATGTCTATCTTTACAAAAATTAGAGCAACCGCACTCACTTTTAGAGATACATACGTGCATACATTCATACTGACATTTTGTAAAAAATGTGATTTTTGACGTTTTAAAACATTAGTAAATGTATTAGTAAAGAGAACACACTTTTTTTCACGGGAATAGAGCTTTCTCTATGAGAAAGCAGAAATATACAGGGTGCTAAAAAACTAAGTGCCATAAATTTGTGTGATAAAAGAATAGACGAGTCCAAGCATTTTGAGTATAGGAACCATGGTTCGGCGACGTTTTATTACGGCGTGATGGGCGTTTCATTAAATCGTCACAACGTCTGCGACGCAATGATTTTATTTCGTCAATTTCATATATGTATTTACAATAACTGTTCAAAGTTACGACCTCCAACGTTCCGACAAGTCACAGTAACGGAGCAATGACTGCCGCGTTCTTTGGAATATTCCAGGCATGTGTCGGATGATTTCAGATGCCTCTATGATGCGAGCGACCAGATCCTCCTCGGATTCGACTTTTTCAGAATAAATCATATTTTTCATTGCACCCCAGAAAAAGAATTCGAGAGGCGTTAAATCTGGTGACCTTGCAGGCCACGTCACAGGTCCACCCCGTCCGATCCACCTACATTGCAGGAGTTGTGACGATTCAATTAATCGCCCGTCACGCCGTAATAAAACGTCACCGACCCATGGTTCCAGTACTTAAAATGCTTGTACTCATCTATTCTGTCATCACACAAATTTATGGCACTTAGTTTTTTAGCACCCTGTATAGTTTGCTAGTTATTAAAAAAATATTTTTATTACTGTATAAAAACTGTCGTGAAAGAAGAGTAAGCACCTTCATTTCCCGAACGCGTCGAGAGAATTATATTAGTAATCATAGCGGAATTAACTCTCTCTCTGATCATGACTACAATGTGATCATACTTTTACCCTTAGCAATTTACAGTATGAACTGTATCATGTGCAGAAACTTCACAGACTTACTTTTTTCACTATCCTGAGTGAACACCGTAGCCATTAATAATGCACGTGTTCACAACAAGAATGTGCGTGACGCTTATAGTTACGTCGTTTAGCACGAGGAAACTGAATTATAGGGGTTTTTATTTCCCCTCTGTGAACTAAACAACTGTGACATGTCATTAGCATCGATAAAGGGCCGCATGTACTTAGATACTTGTTCTTTACGTTGAAAATTTGGAGACATTCAAAGTACGTTGTTGCACATATTTTTACTGCACGTTATTGCGAGATAGAAAACACAGTTTTAACAAAGTTATTTCCATAGAAACATAATACATTGAAACATTGTGCAGAATTATAAGTTTACAAGTGTTCGTTGAATATCTAGTAAGTTTTCTTTGAATAATTGCATCTCTCTCTTCTAAATGTATTCATTTTTTGGATAAAAGAAATCGTTTGACGAGGATTAACATTTTTCTTTTGTTATATTAACAAATACGTTTAATACTTTCTAAACCGGCCCTGTACAGTGGTTATCGATTAACGTGTTGCTCAAAGTGTACAATATGTGAAAGTCTTTCTGCTGAAGTTCGAAATATCGAAACTTTTTCTCAATGGTCCAATAAAGTTGTATAATTCTGCATTTTGGGGAGCAAAATACAGAAAAGCAGTTAGATATGTACGCGCAACATATTAACTGCGTATACTTACGATTTATTGTGCCACTAAAACCGATATGTAGCCACCCGATGTTTTTAGCAACTAAAATATAAATAAAGTGATACAAATAATCAGATAGGTATGGTCATGAGGAAAAGTTATGTTAAATTTTTTTTACTCTTTGCATTGTCACTTAGTGATTATAATATTATTGTGAAAACCTCTATATGCTTTCAATTAATTAAATTAATTTTTTATAATGCAAATTCGAGATATTAATATCAGTTTAATAATTCGTTTAGTATCTTCCCATTTTGTATAAGTAAAAAATACTTAATACTTTTTTTATAATAAATCCGTGTAAAATGCTATAATAGGAAACATTTTATTTGTATTGTGCAAATGGCGAAATTAATTTACAGTAAGTCTTACATTACAAAATGTAGCCATCGTCATAGGAAAAAGTTTTCCTGCAGTAAGGTGCAGTGGTTTATTAGCCAGCATCATTATAACCAATAGATTTCTGGCCTGCTTTGGCTTTAGGTTATACCACTTATAGTGATAAGTAGCCTCGTAAATTCCGTCACACTTGATAAACAATGAAAAAAACAATCAAGGCAGAACTTTAATGTTAAATTTATTAAACATTTACGCAAGTATTACATAATATTTGCATACTTATGTTATTGTAATATTTAAAGTATCAACTTACTTGAACCACTAAAAATTCTCCTACCACACAATAAAGACACATATGTGTGAATGTATTAATAAAAGTTGTCAGTATACAAATGAGTCGACCGATGGATAGATTACTACCTTGCCTCATTATCTGCGCAATAAAAGCGATTAAACGTAATTAAAAGTTCTAGTGAAATTTTTGTACCAAAGAGATAAATATAAAAGTAAATATTATATAATATAAAGTGGACAACTCTTAGGTACAAATTGTTTCTTTTCGTAATTATAAATGACCATGATCTTGATATATGTTGTCAAGATCAATGTCCTAAGTAAGATGTTGACAACACAATCAAAGATCATCCGTGAGGGTATTCGTTTTATGCATAATTACCGAAAATGTGAAATATTTATTAGTTTTAAATATAACTTTTGTCTTTCTCTCTGATTGCATTATGATGGAGAAAAATTTATAATTTACAATTTAGAAAATATACTTGCGGTGATAAATAAAAATCCAAACAGAGCAAAAAGTATGCCAAAATAAACCAGCAGACCAAGCAGCATCAAATTAAATGTATTATCAATGATTTTAATGGATCTGTAAGCGAAAGTTAGTAACAAATAATGACTCTTTTTTTATTCACTCTTTTCTACTTAAAAAAATAAAAGAAACCTTTTATAGTTACAGCAAAAGCTTTTACATGTTATAATTTAACTTATAGAGCTTATATGTATAATGAAACTTATGCAATTAAAATGTCAAATTGAACAAATTACATAATTCGTATTGTGTCAATTATAATCACCAACTCTTGTGCTTATTAATATCTTCATACATGATATATGGATAGGTTTATAATTAATTCCTACTATGTATTTAGGTATGGATCAATATTATTAACTATGTGCTAAATTTTTTTCGCCATTTTATAGCAAATTATTTCCCTCTTGTTTCGACGTACTGAATTGTTGTAAATAGAGAAAATTTTAAGCTTTAGAAAAATAGAAATAATTTTAAGCTTCGAAATTTTTGTAATATTTATTTGACGTATTTGTGAAATTACTTCTCTGTTTCATTAATGTACCGAACCTGATGAGACGCTTATGATCCTGTACACTAGAAGACAGTGCTTCTTCAAAGTGACTAAATTTATCCAGATTCAGAATACGCGTCTTGAGGTTTTCGAGTTGACCGCATACGTGGAAGACCAGATAACCCATGAAGGAGTCTGTGCCGGTGTATATAGCGCCGGCTGTCATCAAACTAAAACCTTGTAGAATGAAAGTAGTCTCGTAAAACGGACTGTCATTTACATTGTATATGTAATATGTTTGCAGCGGCAGCACTTTGCCCGGATCGGTAATATTTGTCATATATCTCATTGATATATTAAAGGTAGGAAGAATTACGATACAAATGAACGAGACCAACATGATAAAATATCCCCAAATCATTATTAGTCGTGCCTTTCGTGCTTGTCGTAACATAACGACTCTTTCATTTTCTGACTTTGATTTTATCCAATCTTCTTTAACCATTTGTAAAACTGGTATGAGAACTATTAAAAATAAAGTACGAGCGTTAATGTTAAATTATCAATTTTATGGTGTAAAACATTCAATAAAATAATAAAAATAATGAAGTCTTTTGACAATTGTAAAAAGAAATTATAATGACAATAAAAAGAATTACATATATCATTGAAATGATAAGCGAAAGCTGTGTAACAAAATGTTTAATGCTAAAGGGCTATAATTTTAAAACTGATTATTATGTACGTATATGTGTGTATATGCAGCGTTTTTATTTTGAAAAGATTATTATTAAACTTCTGTATTAAGTAGGTACATTTCAAATTATTGGGCACAATATAATAACTTAATGTTTAACGTAATTACAAGAACCGACATTAACTAAATTTGTCTTGAGGTTTTTTTTATGAGACGTTTAAGAAACCTGAATAATTGATTTTCTTACGTTTCTAATTTTTTCTGTTGATTTAGGACATTGTGACATTAAAATTTATACATATACTACCTTGCTTCTTTTGCCATAAAAGAACAAGTTTTATTATTGATATTAAAAGCGGTAAACTGTATTGCAGATTATCGATCATAGATGTAATATTGCCCCATATTCTGATGAAAGAATGTAAGGTTGGAATGATGCTACTCCAAATAATTATATTTGATATAATAATAACACGTGCATCCATCATCAATTTCTTTCGAGGAGTTTTGCTGGGTTCTGGCCAAACCCCAAACAAGCGTAAGCATGGTCGATTTAATTTAATAACCCAATTGTAATCTGTTTTTAAATTTAAAAATAAAATTAATAGACAAATTAATAAAGTTCATAAGGATCTCATGTGATAAACATAATTTCGAAGGGATAAGGACTAAAAAGCCGTGACAGGATGTTAAATGTCGAATTCTTATTTTAAATTTATTGCAAAAATTAATAAAGTTTCTTCTCAAATCACATCAGTTAATATTCTGCTAAAATTGAAACACATGACTTTTTTCTATTCACAAAGTTTTACTCGTATTTTAAATCTATGTATAAGATATCTGGTAGTTTCCGAACTATCTTTCGTGAGCAGGTACATAGAAAGGATTAAACTGAACAGGAAAGTCCTTTACTATTTTGTAAGTTTTTTTATAATTAATAATTAATTAATAAAATTGCACGAATCAGTGTGGATTAACGATGTGAATCAACGAAAAGAGGCAGTTCAGCGTTTACGGTTGTTAGGCATTGAGAGGAGCAGTCCGCAACAACATTGACACGTAATGTTAGACAGAACGTTCTTTCTAGTGATCTGCCTTTGCTGTGTGCCTAGCTCTTGTGCGCGCAGCTAATACCAAAAATATCGAATTTCCTATTTATTAATTCTATTTATTATCCTATTTATTAAAATAATATTTTTATCACAATAATAAGACTATCGAAAAGCACCTTTATATCCCGAATGTGTAGAGATAATCATATCAGTAGTTACAGCGGAATTAACTTCTTCACTTATCATGTCTACAACGTGATCATACCCTTAGCAACTTACAACATGAACTGTGACGTGACCAGAAAATTCACAGACCACTTTTCTTGCTCCCCTAATCGAACACCGCAGCCATTAATAATGCACGTGATCCTAACAAGAATGCGCGTGACGCTTATAACTACATTGTTTAGCCCGGGGAAACTGAATTATAGGGCTATTTATTTCCCCTCTGTGAACTAAACAACTGCGACATGTCATCAACATCGATAAAGGGACGCATATAGTCGTAAGTGCTTGTAACACATTTCACAAACTGCAATATTCTTTCTCTGGAAAAATTACGGATATTAAAAGTACAGTGTTGTTCATATTTATGCTGCACAAGAGGGAGAGTAAAATGTAAGTTTTAATAAACTAATTTTCATAAAAATATAGCGCATACTTGAAACAATGTATAAAATTATAGATTTATAAATATTTATTGAATGTTTGATAAATTCTTTCTAAATACTAGTAGTAAAAATCTTCTGGATGTATTCATTAAAAAAAACTTTTTGATGAAGTTAACGTATTCATTTTTCTTTTGTTACATTAACAATGAATGTAATAATTTCTAGCTAAAACCGACCCTGTGCGGTAGTTATCGATTAACACTTTGTGGGAGGTGCACGACAAGTAAAAGTTTTTCTGTTAAAGTTCGAAATATCAAAACTTTTAGTTCATAACAGTCTAGCTAAGGTGTACAGTTTTATATTTCGAGAAACAGATAACAGAATACAGAAAAGCAGTAAAAGCAGTCAGATATGTGCACGCAACAAGTATGCTTACAACCCGGCTTGTTCATTCCATAGAATTTTAAATTTTCGCATGGACACGATCTCTTTGAGAACTTGCGGCAAGTGAAAGTTTTTACGTTTAAAGTTCAGAACGTCAAAACTTTTCTGAAATGTACCTGTTTCACGATGGCTTGGTAAAAGTTGTATACTTGGACAGCAAGTTGTACATTGACAGTGAGCTAAGTGAGCGTGCACCAAATACACCTACCGACTATTGCATCTATCTGTAAAGGAAACTATAACGTACCGTTTCAGTTCAACATACTTATCAGCAGTATCATTCTAAAGACTCTGTTTGTTGAATGTAAATATTTATATAATACATTTAGACAGAGAGAGAGGGAGAGAGGATGGGAGGGGAGAGAGAGAGATAAAGAATAGTTTTTATGATATACATGTATGCATATATGCATGTGTGTTTGAACGTGCGCACCACACAATAACAGAACAATTATTTATTATTCATGTTTTGAATTATCAGATCTAAAATATTTATTCAGATATTATAACTGTTGCTTGAAAGTTTATTATTTGTAATTATTATAAAATAGGTCGTACAAGCAAATTATTACTACATATTGTAAATGATACATCTGGCTTAGGTGTTCTTCAGAGATACATTATTACGAGTGTGATATTTGAGGCATAATCGGCAGTTAATATTTTTGCTGTCGATAACGTACCGAATAACATGAAAACTTAACTTTCCATTAATTTAAATTAATTTTTGTCAAGAACACAATTTTGATTATGCATTACAAATTATTATTGTACAATATTTTTATATAATTAAGTAATTTGTTTTATATTGTGATAACATTTATTGTGATACATTTATTCTGGTATCATTATTCCTCAATGTTGTCTGAATATCCGTTCATCCGTAAACTTTGCGTTTAAAATAAAAATAAAAAATAGAACGTGAATAAATTTTTATGATTTAATTAGCTCGTTGAGATATTCGATATTTTCACTTATGCTGGTATGAACATCTGGAACCGGAGTTTCGATGCATGAAATACCATAGGTAGCTAAACCGACAAGTTTGCCTTCATAAATCAGAGGGCTGCCACTGTCACCCTAAATAATAATTATTAACATTATTCTTATTTCTGTTACATTTACCTGAATGTTTTACATATTATGTAAACACATATACATATACGTCTATGAATTATTACTACTATTCTTATGCCTTATCTCTTTCAAATTAATTTTTAGATGCAGTTAATGAAAAGAGAAAAGAAATTCTTCTGTAAAAAATATTGTTTAAGTATGGTATATACACTCGTGAGAAAATGTTTTTCTAAAACTTTAACAATTATCTAGTTTTTAAATTAATTATTAATAATATTAAACGTTAATAAAAATAAATTATTTGTAACGTCAAGTCAGATGATATAAATATTAAAATGTATCGTTTCTTTAATATAGTTAATAGCATCTTTTTACCTTGCAATAATTACTTCCGGATTTCACTCGAGTGCAGAATTCAGACTTAGAGAGCTTTTTCTCGTGGAAGGACTGGCATTCTTGAGGATCTGTCGTTGCTAACGTTACTTGCTTTAGATTCGCAGTCATCTTTTCTTCACGATCGGCTATCATCCAACCAACTAACTGCAATTGCGCACCCAGAGGCACTTCTGTCTCAGATACTGCAATTGGCTGCACTTTCTCATTGAATTGAAGTGGTTGTATGAGCTGCAATTTTATTATATTACTGCAATCTCTGCGTTCGATGTCGCCAAAAGCGATATAATAATTTTTCCAAGATAATAAAAAGTTATACTTTTTGGATATCAGCATTTTAGCTGAATGATTAATTGTCACACAGAGAAAGGAATAATTTTTAATTAAAAAAATTAAACAGAAAATTTTGAACTATTAATTATTAGAAATAATTAATTAAGGATGTTTTGTACGTACAATCGTAGTAAAAAGTAACTGAAATTCGACTTTAACGAATATATACACTTCTCATATTGTTTGGGCAATAAAGATTGCGTAGAATTTTATTATTTATTCATAGCTAGAGTTCAGAAATGTATTTTAATTTTTCTCTCCGTTTTAGTCATTTGAATCAATGCGGTCACACCTTTCTTGTAACTGCACGGGTAAATTCGTTGCAAATAAAAATTCTTATAACTTGTAATTGCTTCAGTGAAACAACTCCGGATTTTTTAATAAGTTTTGAACATATGTGCGAACAATCTGTAAAATTTTTGTTGAATTCCCAATATTTGAAAAATATGTACTAAACATCCTTAAATCCACACTTGTGGCATTTAATTATTCAAATATCCAAACACATGACAATTTGTGTGTGTGTGTGTGTGTGTGTGTGTGTGTGTGTGTGTGTATCTTTACTTACGAGTATATGTATACTATATAAATTATATAAGTGACATAATATTTAATTGTAATATCAAAACAATATAGAACAATGTAGAAATATGAATGTATACCTTAAGCACACCAAGTCCGCTGGTGACATCATTTTCAAGTGGGTTAACGTGATGATTTTGCGAGAACATTTCTTTAACATAGATACGAACACCGCCGGGTTTGAGGCTGCTCGTGCCGCTCACTATAACTACATTATTCAAAACGTTCCAGATATGCTTGAACGGTGGAACACATCGATCTGAGGTGACGATATGATACTCGTCAAGTATAGCGCCGGAACATACGTGTTTGCCGTTCTTTCTGATCGACACAACATATGGATGCTGCGTGATATCAACATCTCCGTCATTTTGCGTTATTTCAGCATTGGCACCTGATACAATCATATTTAATGTCACTTTCTCTGAAGATACTATTACGACCAATTGTTTCTTTCCTTGCGAGATGGAAAAATATCATTTTCTCAATAGCAAGAAGCGATTAAAGAGATAACAATTTTTATTTTGCTTCACGCACAAGTAGTCTAGCTCTCACAACGTGTGCAATTAAATCATCTTGAAGGCATTCGCTTAATTATCGAAGCTCAAAATATAATTTTTCTGTCAAACGTTGCTATAATTACTTAACGCGAATAAAACCTCTAATACAGTAAAGATCAAATTCAACCATTTATTTAACCACTTACCACTAACGGCGATGACGACCAAAATCCATGTTAGAGGTAACATTGCGAATGTACTGTACGAAAACGTGGTTTCGGCAGAATTTAAAAAAATTCATTGCCACTCCTTCGCTACTGCTTATATATACGAACGAATATTTACGCAATTGTGATCAGGGGGGATTCCGATTCAATGTGTTTGTGCGCAATATAACATGTGTACGATATCCTTGTGCGTGATAGATACGTGCGTAAGCGATGCTGTTGGGAATCGGTTTGTAGGCAAACAGTGCCGTCTCTTTGTCATCATGAATGATTAATCATTTATATAATTTGATGATAAGAGCAATATGTATGTCATTAAAGGCACAGGTGGTAAAGTGACGGTTTTCTTCTGACTTTTGTATGAAAGATATCTCCTTGTGCGATAAAATTAGTTTAAACAGTGTTTAAGGAATAATATATTATTTTGTATGCAATAATATTCCAAATAGGAAGCCATTTATTATATAAAAAATAGGTAATATTTGTATGCACACGTACTTTTATTTGTATGTATGTATGTATGTATGTACTAAAATGTGTTTGTTCGTGTGTACATAGATACAACAAAGACGTAATTTCTCAATGTCACTATTACACTAATAATTTAAATCTTTTAATATAATTTTTATGCATTTTTTTACAGAAGTATACGAAATTTTGATATTTTGTTCTGGAAAAAATACAACTTTCGAGTATTCGCAAGATAACGCGATATCTGCATAAATTTTCCAAAATAATTTGTCAAGAATAACGGATGCGCAATATACTGACAGTAAAATACCGATTCGATCTGTGAATTGTACGTATGATTTATATGATGATATTACCACTGACAAAACGTATCAATATGCAAACACTCTAATTGCACGAGGCATACAGTCAGTACGAAACCTGATAAGTCGTATGCGATCTGCGATGTCGATCCTCAAATTTATGGTAAAATTCTTGGACGTGCGGCACAAGCGTTTCGTTAAAATTTCCAACTGGCTGCAGATGTGAAAGACGAGCAGTATGAAGAAGTTATAGATGTATAGGAGAGCGTGACAATTACCGGGCTGATGCATTGAATGAAAAATGTGATCTCGAATTACTGACTAACGAATGTATCCTACAGAGGATATTCCGCGACGAAACCGACAAACTTTGTCAGCATATTCGGATGGTTATTGCTAATCGGCAGTTTGCCTATGTTGGTAACGTTTGTTATAAAGGGTTGCTTTCCAGCAAGAGACACAGATTGACGCAGTGTAACGCAGAGAATCGAGTCGAGCGTTTTGCGCGCGATATGAATAGCACAAATTCTATTAAATTATTCACTGCACAGAATTATTCCATATAAAAAAGTCAACACATGATTTTGTATTATATATTTTAAACTATTTGACCAACTCTTGGATCCACTTTTTACAAACAAGAACTAATATCAAATTATTCGTATTCATTCTACATTTTCGATTGAGTTCTTGTGGTAAGTAACACGGATATGTAACCGGCCGACGTTTTCAATAACTATATAAAACAAACGTTAATAACAGTATAAATATAAGATATTTTTTAATAAAAGAATAATTGAGATAATTAATTGTATGGTATAAAATATTACAAATGTTATAAATAATTTTGAAAAGAATTATATATAAAGAGTTAAATAAAAACCATACAATTAAACCGTTATTTGGAAACGCATCTTCATACTAAAAAGTATAAATAATTACATATTAATATACATATACATATAAATATAAAATATATGTAATCCTTTCTGAATTCACACATTGCGTTTGCGTTAGCGGAAACACATTAGTTGCTACAACAAAAAATTTTCCTTTCCTGCTACTTATCTAAGGTATCCTAACCATGCTGGTTAGATTTCAAAGTAGCGACTATGTAAGGATGTACACATCCTGAAATGATCTTAAGAGCTGATAATCTGTTGATGTTATATCTAGTAAATAATAAAGTTTTTCGAAGTTTAGAAGCGCAATTTTGGTAACATTTATGAGATCTAATTTGTTGCAGACAAACAACTTTCGATAAAAACTACTATTTCCTTATACTTTAAATTGTTTTTGGTTTTTATTTAACTCTACCTTTTATATAAATAAATTACAGTATTAATTATATTAAAGTTAAAATTTGAGATAACTTACGTTACAAAATGTAGCCATTGACAAGGGAAATACTTTACCAATGTTAAGATAAAGAGGCTTATGGGTTCTTATCGTTAGAAGAATTAAGTTCCGAGCTCTTTTTGGATCCATAGTATACCATTCATTGAAATACACAGCACAATGGATTCGATCACACTCAAAATCGTCATACATACATAGAAACGTTAGTTAAAAATTTTAATCGCATGCTGTGCTATTTATAATATTTATGTGCAGTTTTCAAATATGCGTTCTTCAATAAAGTATGCATTTAATGAATTAATCTTTAAATATTAAATACAATCGTTAAACATTTTATATTAATGAGCATGTATTATATTACGTGTAATACGTATTAATTATTTTGCAAAATCTGTGTTAATTACATAAATGCCAAATGTAAATTTGTATATAAAGTTATAATGTGTTGGTAGAATAAATCTATTATAATTTACAATCACGCTTAGAAAAATATCGTAGCTGATAGCAATTAAACAATTTCAAATTTACCTGCGTTGTTAACATTTCACCCACAGCACAATACAGGCACATGTGACCAAACGTATTCATACAAACGCTTAAAATATATACCAAGTGAAAGATCGATAAGTGTTGGCCACTTTCGAGCATCTAGCATATTATTAAAATATAAAAATATAATATTTGAATGTTACCGAGATATTTATATTTAAATAATATATGTACAATCAAAATCTATGTGCTTTATATACACATAATTATCATTATTTTTATCCTTAAGTTCTTTTAGATTCAAGATCAAACATAGTTTTCGAAAGACATTTCTTCAGACGTTATCCTTTCTGGATAATGGCCGACAGTCTAGCACACGCGGTGTCTGATATACGAAAAGTGACCAGTCGAAATGGAGATAGATTGGGATAAATTAGAAGAAAAGTTATGCATTATTTTGTAAAATTCGTTATACTTATCAAGTAATTAATTCAAACATTTGAGCGGATGATCGCGTAGAAAACGAGGCCGGACTTGGTAGGCTTGCAAAATGGTTTACTTAGCTGTTTCTTCTATATCTTCTATGATTCGATAGGCGATACGCGGTGATTGTTTCTCGCCTCTGGCCCCTTGTCTATCGGATGATATAACAGAAGATATAACAAGTAAACCATTTTACTGACAAGTCTGGTATTTCATGTGCTCATTCGCCCACACGTTTTATTTAAAATAGCACGTGACTTTTCTTTTCAGTTTAATCCAATTTATAATATCTTAAAAGTTTTAGTAATAAATAATTTCAAACGAGACAAAAATAAAAAATAAACGTAAAAAATAAGTCGCTATTATTGCAAGATACTTATTTTATATTAAAACTATATTGAAACCATATGCAAATAATCATGCCATATAATAAAAATTTTTGTAAAATTACTTACATTTATCATCCAAAAACCATAAAAAGCGAAAAGAATGCCAAAATATAGAAACAATACCATCAATATTATGTTGAATATATCATCTATATGGTCAATAGCTCTGTAAAAATATATTGTATAATAATTTACAAAAAGAATATCAATTAATTAAAGATCTTGACATAGACATATATGCATGTATGTGTACCAAGAGCTTTTCTACAATTAAAAGAGTATTAATTAATAAATATTTTAATATTAATATAAGAACACGACAAGGATAGTATATTATTTTCATCGTATTTACGATACAATAATTTATATATCAAGTTACTTACTCTTAAATATTGATATTCAGTATTCAGCTTGGTTTCTTATGCGTTATTATTCATGCGTTAAATTAATCATTGTACTTAAAATGTGTATGTATAAGAAGTATTTTGACAATAGATAGAAAAATATATACCTAAATACTCGGATGTGATCCATCACACAATTTTTTAAAACGTTATAATGCTCGACGTTATGCAAATGCATGAGACGATTCCTCAGAATGTCCAGTTGACCAGAGATATGAAACACCGAGAGACTAAGAAAATTGTCAATGCCTGTATAGCACATAGCGCTGAAGACAAGGGCAGTACTTTGAATAGTGAACGTTAGTTCGTATTGTGGACTTTTACTCGTGTCGTAGATGTAATATGTCTGAAGTGGTAACGGCCTCTCCAGATCAGTGATATTGGACAGGTATCTCACCGAGTGGCCAAATATGGGTAAAATATTTACAACAACCCAGCTCACTCCCATTATGCAGTACCCAAATATTATAATAATGCGAGCAATGTGTGCCCTTGCGATCATCGTTGCTTCTTCTTGAGGTGTTTTTGCCTTCATCCAATCATCCGCGACCATATTTACTATCGGCGCGACAGCTTCAAAAACATGTTAACAAACAGAATTAATAAGAATGCAGAATAGTAAATGTCAATATTTATTAACTTACTTTATGAAATTTAATTTAACATATTTATATCTTTAATTTAATAAGTTTTTTATATTTATTTGAGAAATTTCTTTTGTTTATTTAAAATGGACATAGAAATTAGTTACTCTAAAATATGAAACACCTACTCTGAATAACACAGGCCTACAAGATTTTCCCCACCGAGATCTAAGGGTGTTTCTCTATGTAATTTTTTGCGCTGAATCCAAATCTGGCCGCAGAATTTGTCTAGCACGTCAGAATTTTGAGATATTCTAATTTAAAAGTGCAAAAAAGGCCATTTTTTGACATTTTCAGATGGAAATAAGTTTGAAACGCGATGATACTCGTTAATTTAGTCAACAGATTCGGATTTCTCATGACAAAATCTACGGAAATGCATATACGCGGTTTTCGAAATGGTGTAATATAATTACAACTGTCGGACACTTAATATTAACAAATTCCATTTTCTTTGGTACCTAAGCACCGAACGTTTCTCAGACCGATTTCTTCAGAACTTTGTATCAAAGGGTTTTTCGGGTCACTGATTAAGATTTTAAAGTTAGAATTTGTATTTTCAACATGGCTGATCAAATATGGCGGCCCAAAAATTAAAAAATCGTTACAATTCTCTCAAAATCCTGACGTGCTAGACAAATTCTGCGGCCAGATTTGGATTCAGTGCTAAAAATTACATGGAGAAACACCCTTAAATCTCGGTGGGGATTCAAAAGTGTCATTTTTGTAGGCCTGTGTAATTCAGTGCTATACTTATAACTGCGAATCAGCGAATATTCACTGTTTTCAGTGACAATCCACTGATTGACTTTTAGAGAGTACTATCAAAAACATTTTAAATCGTGTAATAATACCAAATTATAATTGCATCTACCTTCTTTTTTCCACCAGAAAATTGCGTATCTTAGGACGCAGCTGACAGTTGGTAAAGTGTACTGCAAGTTATCTGTCAGTAGTAAAATATCAAAACGGATTCTTATCATGGAATGTATACCGGGAATCACAATACCAAATAGCATTATTGAGAAAACGAAAAGCGCATGTAAATTGCACACACGCTTTTTCCATGTCGTTTGTTCGGACTTAGGCCAAAGTCCGATTACCACTAGACTATATCGATTTAACTTCACTGCCCATTCGAAATCTATATATTACAGAAATTTCAATAGGTTGTGTTAAAATTTTTTTAATAAAGATAAATATCGCTTGACATAATCGCTTGATGTTATGCTAAAATATGTACTAATGATACTTACTGTAACTTTAAAATTAAGAAAATCATAATTTTTTAAACTATTTTTTAAATTAATTTATTAATATTTTGTAAGGTTCCGTAAAATATGTTTAAAAGCGCTTCACATAAATGAAATATATGTATACATACATATAACACGTCACTGTTACTTAATTATTATATAAGTAATATTAAAAGTATAATACAATATTACATACAGGGTGTCGGATTCGATTTGGACCACTCCAAAGATTATAGTAGATTGGGTCAAACTGAGAAGAAAAGTTATACATATACCATTTTACAAAATCCGTAATTATTATCGCGTAATTAAGAAAAACGTCTGAGCCAATAAGTGCACGGAGGAGCGGAAGGCCGGACTCGGCAGACATGCAAAATGGTGTATTTGTTGACATCTCTCAAGATCCGATAACGAGAGGTGGAGTCATGCATCGATTGATGAAAGACGGAGGCGAGCGGGGAGCGGTGAGCGGGCGAACGGCGCGCAGCGAGCGAACGCGCGACATATGACACCGCGCCGAAAAAGTTTTTCTGGTGGTAGGAGAATAATACACCATTTTGCATGTCTGCCGAGTCCGGCCTTCAGCTCCTCCGTGCACTTATTGGCTCAGACGTTTTTCTTAATTACGCGATAATAATTACGGATTTTGTAAAATGGTATATAACTTTTTTTCTCAGTTTGACCCAATCTACTATAATCTTTGGAGTGGTCCAAATCGAATCCGACACCCTGTATATTCCGAATTTTTAAAAAATTGCAAATTTATTTTTATGATGTATGTACATATTTGTAAATAATTTTATCTTCAACAAAGAAAAATCTGTTTTAATCAAATTCGCATTTAACAATCGTTCACACAATAAAACGTTAGACTAATTGAGAAACCGTAATGCCCGTATCACACTAGCGATTGGCGACTGCGTCTGCGTTCGCGTTTGCGTCTACGATTGTCTCTGGACCAATCCGAAAGGAGTTGCCGACGATTGCGATTCGCGATTCCCGTTTAACCGGCCGTCTATTTTCAAACGCGAACGCAGACGCAGTCGCCAATCGCTAGTGTGATACGGGCATAATACGTTTCGTCGGATTAGTATTTCGAACGTTATGTATTCACGTATTGCAACGTCTAAATATATCAATAATATACACATAATGAAAGAGTTTTTTATTGACATATAATAAATGATAATCGTATGTCCCTTTTGACATAACTTTGGTCATCTAACCTTTTTCTGATAATAACCCATTGTGATATTTATCATGAGACGTACTTTCGTACGCAAGGAATTGTGATGTTTCCATGATGAACGTAAGGTATAGACTGACATGCGTTTCTTTATCGCAAAACGACGTAAGCTCTATATAGTAGAGGAACGATATTCCGTGTGACTGTACATAATAAAAATTCTTAAAAAGAAGAATTCATGTTCGCTACAGGAAATTTTGAAAACTCTAAATGTACCCTCTTGTACAACTTCGAAGAACTACGAGTACAACAGGTTCGAAGTTCATAAATAAAACTTGAGATAATGACTGGTTGACAAGTACCTGGTCTCACGGCAGTTCGTGTAGTGTATTGGTCATGTCCTGATGTAGTGGTAATCGATCATTAACTGTCTATAGCCTTACAGTGTCTATAGACACATCCGGATATTGTAATATTATTTTTACCATAACATAACAAATCGATAGTTTGTTTGGCTCATAATAAATTGAGTTAAATGGTGAAATAAATAAGAGTACTTTTGTTTGTATTTTGTAATATTAATACAGAATTATGTTAATCTGTACAAGTGTCAGCTTTAGGGCTTGGACGTTCGTGCGGTTTCTGGATGCGTGCGTGGAGTACCATTGCGTGCGAGTGAGTCGAATACTCGTTAAAGTGAGATAGTAAAATTTTTCAAAGAGACCCACCTCTCGACTCACTCGCATGCAGTAGCGCTTTGCGCGCACACAAAATTATATTGGATGACAATTGGAAAATTGTTGAGAATAAATGCTTGTTATTTTCTCTATAATGAGTGGACAAAATGCAATAAGTGTTAGATATATTGTAGAAGAAAAGCAGTAATTTTTATTATCATATACATAGCGAAATGAATACACACTATGCAAACATTGTAAAAGTAAATATTAGAACTAACAGCGTAATAAAAGAGAACTAATAATTTGGCTGGCTGTAAAGCTTAGCGATATATAATATATTATTACAAAATAATGATAATCTATAATGATGGTACATAATAATTGAGATATGTACTTTTGAAAACTATTAAATTATATTTTCTAATGCATTAGTAACTGTTACTATACCTTCAAAGAACTCTAAGTAAATTCTTTTCACGGAAATACCCGCTCACTTCTTTTTAAGGTATTCACTCTATATTATAACTTCATAAATGCATATTCTTTTTATACTACATACTAACAAGAATAACAGGTCTTTTCTGCAAAATATTTCAATAATTTCAAATGAAGGATAAGTAAGATAATTAAGTTGTCGGATATGTTAATTATGTGAAACTATACATACTATATGTATAATTTAGATATATTACAATTGTGTGTAAAATTCTCCTTAGCAATTGTGAACTATATTCATACTTTTAACTTGTCTGTTATACTAATTATTATTCTTAAACTAATGGTACATGTAATACCTTTCTGACTTGTCTCTTTTTCTCTCCCTTTGTCACAGCATCCAAGCCAATCTTTATTTTAAATCTTTGATTGACTTCTTGTAGTAAGTAACACGGATATGTAACCGGCTGACGTTTTCAATAGCTATATAAAATATACTTTAATAACGATGCAAATAGATGTACTTTTAAATAAAAGAATCATAAATATAATTAATATTTATTATATGAAATATTATAAGAGACTTAAAAGAAATTTCCTTTTGTGTAGTGCTAAATGAGAACTGTAATAGTGATTTGAAGTACACGTATCTTTATAATAAACTAAAAAATATTAAAAGTACATGTTCAATGTAATCCTATTTGACAGTAAGTTTAACGCATCTGCGCTGGTGGGAAAACTAATAAATGGAGCTACAACAACAAAATTCTCTTCTTTGGTGATAAATTTGTGTATGGCATAATAAATGTCCTGGTTAACTTAAAAGTGACATTTACAGTATGTGATCTGACTTTTTGGAAGAAAACATCTTTCGACAAGAGACTATATGTATAGTAGAACTTGCTTCCAAAGCTGGCTTTATGTAATTTTACAAAACATATCACAATATTGTGTTAAATAATTAACACAAAACTTTAGATTTTCTTTTATATGGATGCTTCAAATTATTTTCAGTTTTCATTTAACTCTACCTTATCTATAAAGGAAATACTTATTAATTATATTAAAGTTGTACTTGAACTTACGTTACAAAATGTAGCCATTGTCAAAGGAAACACCTTACCAATGTTAAGATAAAGAGGCTTACTGGTTCTTATTGTTAGAAGAACTAAGTCCCGAGCATTTCTTAGATCCATAGTATACCATTCATTGAAATATACAGCATAATAAATTCGATCGCACTCAACATCATCAAACATACATAAAAATGTTAATTAAAAATTGTTGAAATATTGTTCAAATATAATTTGAAGCATGCTGTAATATTTATAAAATTTATGTGCAGTTTTCAAATGTGCATTCTCCAATATTAACTAATTGAATTTCAGTTTGATAAAAACACGTTTGATTAAATACACACGTGTTTTAAATTTTGTAATGAGTATACATTTTATATGTATATTATTATAAATTACATTTGGCAATGCAAATTATTATTTAGCATTATAATAACTTTTGTAGAATAAATCCCTTATAATTTGTAATTGTGACTAAAATAAATAATCGGTAGGAATTAAAAAATTTCAAGTTTACCTGAGTTGTTAACATTTCGCCAACAGCACAATACATGCACATATGACCAAATGCGTTCGTAAAGACGCTTATAATATATGTCAAGTGAAAGACTGTTAAGTGCTGTTCACTTTCGAGCATCTAGTCATATTATTAAAATATCAAATTTAATATGAAATATAAAATTTAATATTCAGATCAAATTTAGTTTTTAACATAAATTTTTTTGGTATGCCGTTTTTGTATTACTTATGAAAGCACAAATATTTATTATTTAACGAAATCCTATTAATGTTTTCATTGACAAATTAACTTGTGTTATAAAGTAACTTATATTAGAAATTGCATAATATGTAAATATTATAATAATGTAAATGTAAAAAATTAAACTAAAATAAGTTTCAATTACCGTGTGAAATACTTGATGTATAAGAAGTAGAAAGTTATTTTATATAAATATATTAAAACCGTATAATATAAATAACTGTGTAATGATACTTTTCATAAAATTACTTACATTTATCATCCAAAATCCATAGAAAGCGAAAAGAATCCCGAAATATAGAAATAATATCATCAATATTATATTGAATATTTCTTGAATATGATGAATAGCTCTATAAAAAATATTGCATAACAATTACAATACCGAATAAAATATTAATCTGAAAGATGTCACAATATACAGGGTGTTATGTAATACCCGCCTCCCTTCTTATTTGCGGATAGAGCGGACTAGACTAATTGCAAGTCGAAAAGTACTCTAGCATTTTGCAATTTTCGCAATAGTTAACGAGTTATTAATTATTGAAAATCGATTAGTCTTAGCCCGGCCTCCTGCACAATTCGTGCGCACGATGAGATGCGGCCCTCTCACGATCGGCATTGCTAGGCGCGCGGAGAGTTGTTTGTCATACGTAACCGTTGTTGTGTGTCACAAACAACTCTCCTCGCGCCTAGCAACGCCGATCGTTGGACGGCCGCGTCTCGCCGCGCGTTTGAATTGTGCAGTAGGCCGGGCTAAGACAGCGATTTTTAATAATTAATAACTCGTTAATTATTGCAAAAATTGCAAAGTGATACAGGATTTTTGAACTCAATCTAATACGCTCTATCCACAAATAAGAAGTGAGGCGGATATTACATAACACCCCGTATAAAGATATACCTAAGTAGCCGGATATGTTCTATCACGCAATTTTTTAAAACTCTGTTGTAATTTGAGACATTATGTAAATTATACATGAGGCGATTCCTTAGAATATCCAATTGGCCACAGACATGAAATACCGAGAGACTAAGAAAATTGTCAACGCCTGTATAACACATAGTATTGAGGAATAAGGTAATACTTTGAATAGTGAATGTTAGTTCATATTGTGGGCTTTTAGTTGTGTCGTAGATATAATATGTCTGTAGTGGTAATGGTCTCTCCAGATCAGTGATATTAGACAGGTATCTCACCGAGTGGCCAAATATCGGTAAAACAACTATAACAAACCAGCTCACTCCCATTAAGCTGTACCCAAATGTTATAATGATGCGCGCAATTTGCGCTCTTGCGATCATCGTTGTTTTTTCCTGTCGTGTTTTCTCCTTTAACCAATCGTAAGCGATCATGTTTATTATTGCTGTCACTGCTGTAAAAACATGGTAACAAAAGGAAATTAATGAGAATATAGATTTATTTGGTTGTTTAAAAATTGTAATATAACTTAAGATTTTTAACTTCGTTTCTTAATAGTCAATAGAAAGTTTAGTTACATTCAAATATAAGATATCTATGAAAACATTTTATATCGTTTAATAACTAAGTTGTAACTGTATTTACGTTTTCTCTTCCACCAGAATATTGCAAATCTTAGGACGCAAGTGATGGCTGGTAAAGTAAACTGCAAGTTATCTGTCAGTAATAAAAGGTCGAAATGGATTCTTATCATGGAATGTATTGCAGGAATCGCAACAAAGAATAACATCATTGAGAAAACGAGAAGCGTATGTGCATTGCACATACGTTTTTCCCATGTTGTTTGTTCGAACTTAGGCCAAAGTCCAATTAATACTAGACTATATCGATTTAACTTCACTGCCCATTCGAAATCTATCTTTTGCAAAAATTTTAGTATATGTTAAAATTTTTTTGTATAAGGACAATTACCGTTTGATTAATCGTGATTAAGCTAGAACATGTATCAATTATAATAACTCTAAAAATAAGAAAGTGATAATCTTGTCAAGTAATTTATTTATTTCGGTAAGGTTTCATAGAATATGTTTAGGAGCTTCTCATATAAAAGAAAGGAAATATACATAAGTCAGTATTACTTATTTATCGCATAAGCAATATTACACATGAAATGCAACCATTAATTTACAATTTAGGAAAATAAATTGCAAATTTATTCATATGATATAATTACAAATAATTTTGATATCAATAAGAAAAATCTGCTTTGACATAACTTACATGTAATAATTATTCAATTAACATAATATAATAACACATAAAAAATTGAAAAACCTTGACGAGTCTACTATTTCAAACGTCATAATATAATTACAATTTATAAATATGAAAAATAATGAAGAAATATTCACTTATTAACGAATTTAATAATGAATGGTAACCGTATCTTCCTTTCGACATAGCTTTGTTCGTCTAACCTTTTTCTAATAGTAACCCATTGTGATATTTGCTCTGAGAAGTGCGATGAGAAGTATTTTTGTACTTAAGAAATTTTGATGTTTCCATATTGAGTGTACGATGCAGACTGACAGTTAATTCTTTCTTTATTGCGAACGAAGCCAGCCATAGATAGCTATAATAAGACGATATTCCGAGTGCATAATAAAAATTCTTAAAAACAGGCGATATTCCGTGTGCCCTAGAAGGAAATTTAAAAAACTTTAAATGTACCCTCTTGTTTCACAACTTTGGATAACTACAGTGCAACAACGTTCGGAGTATTCATAAATAAAAACCGAGGTAATGACTGGTGGATAAGCCCCTGGTCTCACGGCAGTTTATGTAGATGTATTGATCATGTTCCGAAGCAGTGGTAATCGATCATGAGTTGTCTATAGCCTTGCGATGTCTATAGACATCTGGATATTACTTTTATTACTTTTATTAATACGAAATAATTTGAGTTAAATGGTGAAATAAATAGGTAAAAGTTTTTTTTTGGTATTGTGATATTAATATAGAATTACTTTAATCTGTATCATATATATATTTCATTTTTATGAACTACATGTTTCATAAATAATCTTCTCTATTTCTATGAACGTGCAAAAATGTTCAGTTAACGTTAAATATGTTTAACAGTTTTCTGGAGGTTTCATTTATTTATACTTATCTTTAGTCGATGTTATTCAATTATTATTTATGGAGTAAACAGGTACCACAACTAAAAAATACTTACATGAAGGCTTTACTTTTCAATATGAGCATTGTCTGAATTTAGACACTTGCTTAGACACGTTTCTACAAAAACTGACTTGTTATGCAATGCTATAACCTAGAATTCTATTCTCATGCATTTAATGCACTTTATACTTTTTAATTTGTAACATAATATAATACTTTTTATTATTTTTATTTAAATGGTACGTACACATTTTTTTCGACTTATCCTCTTCCTCTTTCATCATGTTATTACTAGCTAAGCTAACCTTATATCTATTATCTAGTACCTTTTATTTTCAATAAATAAAAGAATTACTCAGTATAATTATAACAGCAGCATAAATTTTATTAAATTAATTTACTATACACAATTATATCATGTTAAGTTATCAATTTTACATTTAACTTAAATTTTATATTATAAATTTTAAATTATGTGACCAACTCTTTGGTCAAATGCTTAATATGAAATACTAGTATTAAATAAGGCATTATTTGTATTCTTTTCATATTTTCGATTGGTTTCTTGTAGTAAGTAATACGGATATGTAACCGGCTGACGTTTTCAATAGCTATATAATAAAATGTACCTTAATAGCATTACAATAACAGATAAAAATAGAAAATATTTTTAAATAAATGAATCGTGAAGATATTTAATACTTATTATGTTAAATGTGGGTAACATTTTAAATACTTCAGGAGAAATTTCGTATACGTATATGAATAATTTTAAATTATTTTTAGTTTTCATTTAACGCTACCTTGTATGTAGAAAGGTATATTATTAATTAAATTAAAGTCATAGTTAAAATTAAAGCAACTTACATTACAAAACGTAGCCATTGTCAACGGAAACACTTTACCAATATTAAGATACAGAGGCTTACTGGATCTGGTCATTACAAGAATTAAGTTCCAAGCTCTTCTTGGATCCATAATATACCATTCATTGAAATATGCAGCATGATGAATTTGAGCACACTCCAAGACATCATAAATAAATAAAAATGTTAGTTACAAATTGGTGAAATCACTTGCTGTAATATTTATAAAATTTATTTGCAGTTTTGAAATTTGCGTATTTCAATTTGGTAAATATGCAGAATAGGTCACACCTCACCGATTTCCTCGCCACTTAGATATGTTGTAGGGGTGAGTTTTCTGAGTAATTCCCCGCAAGAATCAAGTGGGGGACGGCATTGGTTTAGGAGATATAACAAATTGAAAACTAAAAATTTTAATACTTTTTCTTAGTAATTTTTATTAAAATGCCTGTGTAGCTACCTTTAAAATCATAAACGAACTACCGTTTTCATTTACAAGGTCACACCTGCCCCCTCCCGCACCAATCGGTACGGGTTGAACACACACACACGCGCGCGCGCGCACGCTTAATTTTTCTCGCGGCGCAGACTGACCGAGCAAGCGAGATCCACTCTACACCTCAGACATGGTTTGGGTATTGTTGCGTACGTAAAATATAATAAAATCAGTCGTGCACGACATGCGCAATAACATCTCGCGAGCACGTTAGACACCCACAAAAAACTCGTCTAGAGGAACACAAAGAAGCAGTGGACACCTTAGTGTCTCGTGGCAGCATCACAGGAGCGACGGCTTGACCGCCCCGATACAGGGGGGTCTCGCGGTGCCCTTGATGTCGGCTTCCTTAACGCGGCGGCGCAACGCTTGCGTCGCGCGCGATCGGCAGATCGTTTGATCCGTCGACAGCCAATGAGAATTCGGAAACGAGGGATATAAAGGGAGCTCGATCCCCCCAGTTTTCATTCGCTATCCAGAAGTCAACGGGGCAACTCGTATAGTTCTCGGACAGTTTATAAGACGACCATCAGGGTATACGATCCCAGAATAGTGTCGAAGTGTCTAAGGTGCTCGCGATACCAGACTCAGGGTATCGCAATCCCCCAGGCGTGGTCTGGACTTCGAACCACCGATTCAGGACGACCGTCCCCAGGCGAGATCGGTGGGCTATCGACTCAGGACGACCAAGTCCCCAGGCGAGGTCGATAGCAATAGTAAAACCAGTGCGTGCGGTATTAACCGTAAGACACCAAGGCGTGCAGCTCAGTGTATACTTCGTACCAAATAAAGACATTGTTAAAACTACAGTGTGGACAGTAAATCGTACACACTGCTACGGAACAGGTATGGTTATATTTTAACGAAGTGGAGCCCCCCGAAGGGGGGGGGGGCGGAACATACTGTCTCCACGCATGTACTTCCACCATTGTACTGTTCCACATGGGTTTGCAACTTTCCACGTGAAGCGAGATCCACTCCACACCTCTGACATAGGGTGGGTAGGGTTATTTTTAACGAAGTGCAGCCCCCCGAAGGGGGGCGGAACATACTGTCTCACGCATACATTTTTCTACTCACATATAAGTCACTCCCCTCCACCAAATGTAGATATAAAAATGTATGCGTGAAGACAGTGTGTTTCGTCCCCCCTTCGGGGGGGGGGGCTCCACTTTGTTAAAACTAACCCTACCCATCCTATGTCAGAGGTGTGGAGTGGATCTCGCTTCACGTGGAAAGTTGTAAACCTGTGGCGACTTGAGTTGCCCATCTATACCACGACACACTCATGGTCGTTGGTGGCGCTGTCCGAGCGGGACAAGTATTGTAACAGTCGCTTCTCTCAACTCGCACGATCGAGACCGATCACCTCGACGTTGCGATTGAGATCTAATAAAGGATATCGTTTGTTCTTAAACGTGCCTGGCATCATTCCTGCCTTCGCACATAAACTAGCTACCGGCATAAGAAGTATCTGTGGCACTTCTACCGGGGCTTCTAAGATATTTAAGCCCACAATTGGTGACCCCGACGTGATCGCGCATCCGCGCGATTCACGATTGCATCAGCGGTATCAAGGAGCGACTACAGGACTCAGGCCATTCTCCAGCTTCCTGGACGGACCTGCAGCCCTCTGAAGGACCTCAACCACGCCCTACCCGCTAAGAGGATCCTGGGGCGGCCCAATTTTTTACGTCAACGACGTCGGGCGAGTCCATGTTGGGACCGTCTCGAAACTTCGGGCGAGTCCATTATCTCCAAGCGAACAGCGAGGAGGCCATATTGGGTGACGCAACCAAAACGCACCCTGAGTCAGCGCACAAGTCATCCCAGCGGACATCTCCGCGCCAACGCAGTTGTACCTGCGGACGCGCTTGCCGCCGACGAGCGCACGGGACCATACCAACAGCGCGCGGGACCATACCGCGGCGCACGAGGACTACATCAACGGGACGCGTTGCGCATTCAGCCCCCGGCGCGCACGCAACATCGGTTTTGAGGGACGCCCCTGGCAGCGCATCCAGCAGGCACCGCCGTCCGGCGGGACGCAGGACAGCGCCTCTACCCTACTCTCGCCGACGTCTCGAGTCCGGGCTCTACCTCCTTCGAGGGACGACGCCGCTTCTAGAACTTCGAGACCGTTGAGGCATATGCTTTGCCTCGTCCTGGTATTTCTCCTCAGTTTCTTTTCTTTTTTCTCATTTCTTCTCGGTTCGCGGTACGCGTCCCACAGCTTAAACATGCCGGACGAAGACGCGCGCGTAGAATCGTACCGGGTGCCTAAGATTCCGCCCTTCTGGCGACAGGCCCCGGAAGATTGGTTTTTGCGTGTTGAAGCGTCGTTTATAAACGCGAATATAACCGTCGATAGTACTAAAGTCGACTACCTTATCGCAAGCCTCGATCCAGAGGTCATATCGCATATCCGAGACTTGATCCAGGAGGAACCACCTCCTGCTAACCTGTACAAAGCGCTCAAAGACAGGATTCTCGCGACATTCGCGGTCTCACCGGAGGCCCGTTTACGGCAGCTACTGAAAGGTCAGGTTCTGGGGGACCGGAGGCCCTCTCATTTATTAAGTCAAATGAACCAGCTCAACGGTGGGCAATGCAGTACCGCCGTGTTAAAATCTCTCTTCCTTGAGTTGTTACCCGACGCGCACAAGACCATTTTGGTCGCGATGAACGAACCTGACCTGCAAAAACTCGCGGGAATCGCGGATAAACTCGCGGATATCAATGCTCCCAGTACCGCAGTCGCCGTAGTCACGCCAAAAGAATCTAAAGGCACTCGTCCTAAAGCTCCTTTGAGCACTGACGAAAGGATCAATAAGCTCACTAAGCAGATCCAGTCTTTGAGCACTTCGGTCGCAAAATTGCGCAGCGACCGTTCCACATCCCGTACGCGTAATAAGTCTAAGCGTGGTGATGAGACAGATAAGCCCGATGTTAAGGCGGGCTACTGTTACATTCACCGTAAATACGGGAAGAAAGCCACGTCCTGCCGCAAGCCTTGCTCGTGGAAAGATGACGCGGCGGAAAACTAAACCGCTCTCCCCGCAAAGAGACGGTCGGGGATTCCGAGCACAAACAAAGCCGTCTT